CCCGGCATGCAAAAGATCTCCAAATAACCTAATTTCGACTCTTATTGGACTGCTATTTAAGGCTGATATCAGGCGTCCACTGGCAACTTAAGCGACCCTAATAGCAATACCTACATATTTAAGCCACACCCTAAATACTTTTGGAAAAAAATAGCATAGGTAGTTAAAGGAGATCCTCTTCCCAAATTTCACCGTTAAAACATGGCTTGGAGGAAACATAAAAACAACACCGTCTATTCTAAAGACGAAATGAAATTTTTTATGATACATTTGTTGAAATTCCATTTTGAAATACACGTCTTAAAATAATTGCATGTAGTTGAATCAAAAATAAATTATGCATGTAGTGGTACATGAAAAAGTGATTGCTTCCTTTAATGATTTCTATACGTTGTATCTGTTAATTTTTACTTCGAAATACAATCAATGTGTTATAGCTTAGTATACAGTTCTTAAGAAAAATCTGAAGAAATTTATTTCACTGTTTGAAATTAATTTAATCTAATTTAAGAAATTTAGATAGAAGAAAATTTCTATTCCATTTCTTGAACGTCCTTTTATATGAAATTTTCGTTTTTCTATAGAACTATATACTAACCTTAACAGCGAAAAAAAAGGAGAAATCCTTAAAGAAAAAAAATTGTGTTGTGAAGATTTCTCGGCTAAGAAAGGGTAATATGAATATGACGTGATAAACGGTTACTATACACGTAAAAGTTGATTTAGTAAAAGCTGCGTCAAAAAAACAAAATACTCAGCTTCTACAGTAGGTATTTGTACAAATATAATTTTTTATTTATTTATTTTTTTATTATTTCTTTTTTGTTTGTTAAGAAGATATTGACAAGTTATGTAAGTAGATTGGCTTGCAAAAATCAAGAGCCAGGATGAAACGTTCGAAAAGACGTTCAGGACTAAATGGTGTTAGCAAAAAGGTTACAAAATTAAGTGATGCCAGAAGAATTGTTATTGCTCAAATTAGGCACTGGCTTATACAGGGATGATGATTGGAATGGTTAATAGACAAAAAAAAAGTGGACAAGCAGTTGGCGTGCGTTGAAACAAAAAAGCCAAGAGCGGTAAGCAGATCTTCCAAAAAAAAGTTTGCAAATCAAAAATAAAAAATCTGCTGATCGCAATTAGCACAAAAACCGTGAGTCTAGATTGCTTACAAAACGAAGACAAAATTAAGCTTTTTTTATGTAAAATATATAAAAAAAAATAAAATACTTAAAAAATTAGAAAACGTTTTCTAACTACTTGGTTAGATACACTTCCAATATGAGTAAGAGTACTTTAACTTCAAAATACAAAAGTGAAAGTATAGACACTTTTTATATACAGATTTTTAATGCAAAAAATTTTAAGTACTTCAAAGAGCAAAAAAAATGCGATTACCAAACGCAAAAAGGTTAAAAATTAGCAATTATATTAGTTAAAATTTTAATTTTGAATTCAAATATCCGATTACGATACGTATTCTTATACCAAGAAGTATTTAATACTATACAAGTGGAGCACCAACAACGAGAACCTTTTCCAGTAGAGAGGGGTTCGGTTCTCTTTTTTTAATGTTTTACTTTTATTATTATATATTGAAAGTTCGTTTAAAGGACAGAAAAAAGGAAACGACAAAAAACACAAAACTACAAAACAACCATAAAAATAGTTAAAAAAAAATGTTCGAGTGTCGTCAACTTTGAAGCCTGGCCCTAAAAGGTTTCTTCATTAACTACTTTTTAATAACTATTATGTACGTGTAGCGTACTTTCAACTAAATAATCTCTATATTACCAATAAAATTCCAACTAACTACAGTCAAAATGAGTTTTGATTTTTAGAATGTCAAAACAAAATAACACCAAAAATTATATAATACTTTATAAGCGCAAAAAAGAAACTTTCAATCAGTACAAAAAGGTAGTTTCGCAAAAATATAAGAATGAAAAAAAAAAGAAATTTTTTTCGAATATAAAATTCATTTAATTAATTATGTCTTGCCTCTAATTCCTTTTTGGCAACCTGATACTCAACGTCATATTTCTGATCCTCCAATTTGAGTATTTTATTGTAATAATCCTGTACAACTTTCTTTAGTGTTTCTGCGGGCAGAAAGTGCAATTAAAACGTGAAAAAAACGGTTAATACGGAACGTCTTTTTTTTGGTGTGTGTTCTTTTGGTGATTGCGCCATCTGTGCTGGGGACGAATTTTGTATGCGCTCGCATGTATGTATATGTATATGTTTGTGTGTATATGGTTGCAATGGATGAGGATCGAGTGGAAGATATAAGAAGAGGTTGAACCTTTGAAAAATTTTTTTTTTTTCTACTACAAAAATATAATTTGGGCTTCGTGTGTAATGGGTGGGAGTGTGTTGAACTGAGTGTAACGAATATTTAAATAAAATAACTGCTAGTAAGAATGTGTCTATTTTTTATTTTAGATATTAACTAGATATATATACTATAAAATTCCATATGAGCAATCCCATGGTGGCGCACGATTTCAATGTGATACAAAAAAGGAATACCATTTGTTTTCTTTAACTTTTTTGGGCCATTGTATAGCACGTAATTAGCTCTATATTTAACCGAAAAATTAAATCAATCGAACTGCTTGGTCCTGAAATATAAGCATTTAAAGAGTGTCGTTACGTGACAAAAAATGGAAGTTGATTTTTTCTTTTCTTACAAAATCGCAAAATTCTGCGAATTGTGGATGGCTATTTTCATGAAACTTTTTTTAATATGATTTAGAGCAATTCTAGTTATTTTTAGAGTTTTTTGAATTAATGCAAATTGTTTCAATTCTCTTTTACAACCCAAAGTGTGAAACGTGACGTGATGTGGCGTCACGAGACATAAATTTCCATCGTTATATTTTTGTTAATATTGCTTTTAAATGAATTTTCAACGCAAATAAAACATGTATTTTATGTAAAATATACTTTATATTTTGACTTCAGCGCCAATTCAGGGTCAATTTATTAGAGATCTATGATTTATTATGTTTCAACCACATGCGCCAAATTCGAACCGAATGGGACCCTAAATACGGTTTTTCGAAATATCTCGACCTTGGCATCACCTAGGAAGACCATTTTATGCAAACATGATTCTACTTACATAGCCAGTATATATTTTAAAAAGCAGACAAATCGGCCCGTAAATACGTTAGATATAAAACTTTTATTTTTTTTGTCGTGGTGGACCTTCCGGTGGAAACACCCATATATGAAAAAATCAAGAAAATAATTAAAATAAGATACATACATATGTATATGCAATTGTGATTATTGAAATCAATTAGGACTAACTTTTGAATTACAGGAAACATAGCACATTAACATTTTTATATTCATAGAGGTCCAAATACGTTTCTATGTATTGTTTGTGTATGCAGTTGTCGTCGTTGAAATCCGGACAAATAGTTGGGATGCAGTTTAAGTTACTTCGAAAATTGCGACCTGCGTTTTCAGATTAGTGACGCCCGCTAGTGGTTGTCCTTAAGGGGGTGCTCAATCTTTTTTACTACATACATATGAATACTGGTTGTTGATGAGCTTCTGGAAAGCGCTTAAAATAAAACGCATTCAGCGCTTTTGGCTATGCAAATGATTTTGCCATCTAAGTAAATTGACGGAAATTCTCCATCGTCCCCTTTACCAAAAGAAGGTAGGGAACGGAAATTGAGTTGCCGCAAGAAGCGAAGCATTTTGGAAAAACCATGGACAAAATCTTCAACCGGAATTTAGATCACAGCTAATATCAACAAGGCTACTAAGGCTTGTCAAAGATGTTGTAAATGCCTAAGGTTAGGGTGAACTATTATAGAACTCTGTGTGTCGCAGCAAAGAGTACAATTAACACTATTATTTAAAAAAACTATTACTTTTAGAAGTCCGGATTTTAATGCCCGCGATTGTATTTTTTTTTTAAGACAATATTTAGGATCAGGACCAAACAGCATTCCTAGTGGTAAACATGTAAGCAGCTTTAGTGAATTGCAGGCAGGCTGCATTCAAGACAGTAGACTGCAGACAACAAAAAGTAACATCCGTGATTAGCTTCCACAGATACTTAGTTACACAACCTAGCAAAACTGATCAAATGATGGCACTCGAAGGGATAACAGCTCCCACTCATCTACCACTGCTTTTATCGTTGCTCTTATCTATGTACATTTCAAAAGCAGCTACTTAAATATTTAAAAATAGGTGGGAATAGTTTATCCTATTCTTTTATAAGTCTTAAATAATTTTGTGTAACAAAATTTCTTTTGTTTTCAGCTAATGTATCGTTATCGTTGTTGTTGCAAGTTATTTGAACTCAGGTGAGTGAGTGCAGTTTGAAAACGCATTTAAAAAGGTGTAGTAAATTTGTAAAATAACAAATTTAATATTTTAATATTTATATACACAAACAAATATTAGAAGTGACTTTGAAAGAATTTGTGTGCAATAAAAAATCGTGATAATTAAAAACTTTTGTAAGTGTGCTGAGTTTAAAAATAAATTATTTATATGTGAGTGTGAAAAAAAAATTTTAAAATAGTAAAGTAAAGAGCGCAAGAAAGAGATAGAGAAAGTGTTGTATTAAAATTTTAAGTCTTCAGAAGCATTGGTTTAGTGTTTTTACGTAATATCGTTTTGAGTGTTGTTGTTGTTTTTTGCTTTACACAAAACGTATTAACAGCAGCATTGCAAATACCCCGCTCCATGGCCAGAGGTGCTGATTTTGTAAGCGATAGCTAACTATGTACTAAACTAGGCAAAAATGAAAATAATGAAATGTGTAACCATTTTTCAGGGGAAATTTGTGCTGCCGTTTTACAAGCTCAGCCCATAACTGGTGACAGGAGCGGAGTGTGTGTTGTTGCGTGCGAAAAAATAAACTGCTTTAATTTGCTGTGAACGCACGTATTTAGTTGTTCAGTAGTTTTTGGCGAGAAAAATAGTTTTTTTTTTTCAAAAATTTTGGTTTAGCGCAGTTAAGTGCTTTAAATAGTTTTTGTGTGTGCTTGCTGATTTTTTTCAAGTAGAAAGAAAATCAAAGTGTTCGTTTGTTTTGTGTGTACCTCAACATCCTTGCGTTTAACAACATACTCAAGGTCATATTTCTGGTCCTCCAATTTATTAATCCTGTCATAGTGTTGCTTGATTATATTTTTAAGTGTTTCTGCAGATAAGTGGAAGTGAAAGAATTGCGTTTATAACAAAAATCAACACAATTTCACAATGTTTGTCTGGGTTTGTTTTTGGTTTTTTTTTTGTTTTGTTTTGTCTTGTTGCTTAAAACAAATAAGGTACGTAAATATGTATAATAAAAATAAAAATAAAATATGAATAAACCAAAAATCTTAAAAATATGGTTATCAAAATTAACTGACGGGCTACTAAACTATTTTGAAAAAAATGAGCATTTTTTAGGAAAAAATTATTAAAAAAAAAACTATTTGTAGTTTCAATCTAATCTAATTGAGGAGTAAAGTTACAAAATTTTCGTTACAGGCCAGTAAAATGTGTGCATGTGTGCATGAGTGCTTTTTTTGTGTGTACGGGTGTGAGTGTGTACATATGTTTGTGTTTGGATTTTTCTTTTTTTTTTTAAATAAAAAATGTGATTAAATGTGCTGATTTGCTAATTTTTTCATACTTTTTTTAATTATTTCTTTTAATTTTCTCTAAAACTTGATGTTTATTCTGAAAATCTACTACTTCCTTAATTTTTCAAATTCATTTGTATGTAAAACAATCATTAGAAACGAAATCAGAAATCTTACCTTCGCTGGCGTCGCTGAGATTTCTCGGGCTACCGCAACGTTCTTCAATGATGCGTCTACGTTCAGCGGCTTTGCGTTCTTGTTCTTTCTTCAGCTCTTCAGCGGCTTTTTTACGGAGCAACAACTGCACAAAGAAAGATGATAATAAATTATTACAAATTTTCAGCTAACAAACATGTCAATAATTTTCTTCCCTACCCTAAGCTTCTTCTTCCTTTCTGGGGTCATGAAACCCTTCTTGGCCTTCTTAGCCTTGGAGGCTTCCTCCATACGCTTGCGCACTTCAGCACGCTTGCGTTCAATCTCGGCCTGTTTAGCCTTCTTTGCCTGTAAAAATTCCAATCGAAAAGTCAGTAATTAGTCCAGCGACAATGCAACACAAACATGCAAGAAACATTCAAAGGTTGACATGACACATATGTATGTAGACATAGGAACACATCGTTTGAGACAGCAGCAGCATTGCGCTTTAAACATAGAACATCGAATGTGCGGCGTGTGGACACTTAACGATGGCACGACAGATCTGCAAACGTAAACCACAGCAAGGGACATCAAACACTTGTAAGACATTTCGGCACACTATTCGCCAGATTACACGCAGTTGAGTACCTCATCCTTGGGATCTAGTGGTTTAGCTGGGGCTGCTGGCGCAGCTGCCTTAGCGCCTGCGGCTGGTGCTGCCGCTGGAGCAGCTCCGGCAGCTGGGGCGGCTGGTTTTGCTGCTGCTGCTGCTGCCGCTGGCGCGGGTGCAGCGGCTGAAGCCGGTGCAGGTGCAGCTGCTTTCTTCTAAAATTTGCGAAAAGAAGATAAGAAATATTAGTGATTAAGTAAATACAATTGGTTTGTAATTTATTTTGGCAAAACAGCGTGCAAAGCGCATAGTAAATATTAGGCGTAGCATTAAAGGTTACTAGTAACGCGTTTACTTCATCATGAGTTTTTTGTAGCGTTTCATCTATATTTTTCTGGGTTTGTTTATTAGTCATTGTATAGCCAAAGTGTTCGCTAAAAGCAAAGGCGAGAGTAGCAGCTTATAAAAAATAGCAAATTGTATGAGCCAAGCGTATAAAGTGTAAGAAAATTTAAATATTCACCTTCGATGTGTCCTCATGTCAACGCCAAAATTATCATTTAAAATACGCATATTTACTGCAAATTAGAGAATAGAATGAACGTTAGTCTCTGATCTACGAATAAAGTGTAAGGATCTCGGTTTGAGCGATACTTACCTCACCTCATCATCAGCCATTTTGGATTTGTGTTTTTGGATTTATTAACTGAAAGTATACAAATTAAATATATGTTAACATATTACAACTATTTCAACAAGCATATAAGTTATTATGTTTAAATATACATATATACACATATTACAAGCTTGAATATGAAATTAGCTCATTCCCGACTAAAATGGCTATTCCGTAACGTAGTGAAAGAAAAATGATTTAATTTATGATTTTGTAATAAACATGATAAACTACTGTCACATGAAGAAAATAATAAACATAATATATTATAAACATAATATAATATAACATATATTATATTAATATAAAAATATTAAAGCAAAATCTTCATTTTATCTTTTTCTTTTTGAGCTCGATTTTCATTTTATGTAAAGTACGGAATGAGAATTGGCTCCCAGTTCGTAGAAGCTATTCCGGAGTTTGATAGAGTTTCAACACATTTCTTACATGCCTTACGCCGATGGGTTTTCCGAGAAGCCAAGGGTTCAACGCTGAAAAAAACTGATCAGTCATTCGATCTTTTATGTGCCGGGCTTTGAACCAGGAGCTCAATATTGAAAGCCACAATTTTATACACTTAGATACAAACGACGTCGAAACCGTTTGCTGTATATCTTCATCGGGACCGGAAATGAACAGCGTTAATGTACTATTTTTTAAAGCTTTCGTGGCGGCTCAGAAGTCCTTGTGTACCTTAAAAATATATGCTTTATTCGCTTATTTCTCTCGATAGTATTATTACAAAATTTGTAAAGGAACTTATTTAATTTTTTTTTTAGCAAATAACAAAGTTAACTGACTTAAAATAAGCCAGCACCAACTAGTGGTAACTTTTCTGAAAAGTTCGCACTGAGCTTAAGATATCGAACCATGTCAAAGCACATTGAATAGCTAATATCACCAGAGCTTCCTTTCAGAATAAAGAAAATATTACTTTGGCATAAAAAATACATAAACTGCACAGTAATCGGTGTGAGCAAGTTCTTTAGTCTGATGAATCAAAGTTTGAGATATTCGATTTTAAGCGACAAGTGCTAATGGGATAGTCTGCAAAAAGCACAAAAAGTATCAAAGAAATAAATTTCGTAATGCTTTGGGAATATTTTACTGGTCTGAATCCTTCGAGTAGCTCAGCAATGAATTGAATATGAGTTTCAGATTTATAGGATGATGCAGATCTTTGAAAGCAATTATTAGTGATTTCTTAATTTTTATTTATTTTTTTTTTGTATCTACTGCAAGCTTTGGCAAACGTAAATCATGGAACGATATTCAGTTGAACAACGCGTTTGAGGGATCTAAACGTTTTATGAAAATGGTCGTTATGTTAATATCTCAGTCGCATACATATAAAAACACATTCGCTAAGTCATCAGTTACTCGCCCTGCATCGTTGCAGGGTCAGCACTCTTCATCAGATTTTAACAGAAAACCATTTGCAATGCCGTATTTCTAAAAATTGGTTGCTTGAGCTTCAAGTAGTTGATACCGATTTTTTTTTAAATATTACCACTACCGATGAGGCACATTATCATCTTAACGGTTACGTTAACAGACAAAACTTCCGCATTCGGTGTACTTCATGTCATCCAAGAAAAAATTTTGCAGCCACAACGAGTCACTGTTTGGTGTGGTTTTTGGCTGGCGGTGTCATCGGATCGTACTTCTTCGAAAATGATGCCGGTAACCCAAAATTTGTATGGCCTGAATTAGATGACATGGACCAAGACAATATGTGGTTTCAACAGGTGCCACTTGTCATACACCAAAGGCGAACGAATTTTCCAAGACGAATTATCTCATGAAAAAAAACGAGGTCAAATACACAATTTGACTTTTTTCTCTGGGACTACGTGAAATGTATGGCCTATGACAATAAGCCCCAGACGATTTCAGAGCTGAAGAACGAAAACATGCAGGTTATAAATTATATATGTAAATACAGCCCGAAGTAGCGAAAAAGTTATGGAAAACATTTGATAAGCGCATCCTGTGTTACAAGAGTAGTAGTGGTGCGCATTTAACGGGTATTTTGTTTCATACAGAAATGCCATAGACTAAACATGATGAAAAAAAATAATAATAATTTCGACATGTATTTAATGCATTGTTGTTCCAAAACTCTAAATTAATTAACTCTTCATTAATTAACCAATTAATTAATCACAGCACAAAGTCCAGGACGTTGATAATAAGGGCGCAGCAGCTTTGCTTTTATTACGTTTATGTACAAAATAAAATTATAGCGATAAAAACCAGCTGTTTTAATTAGCTCAAAATAAAACCCACTCAAATACCCACATACGGCTGTGTATATGTATGAGTATACTTAAGGAAACATATGCTTCCATACCATGCGAGTATAGTGCGTTCCAAACGTAAATTTTCCACGCATCATTTATAATCATATCCAACCAAGTGGAGAAGCAGCAAAATAGATCTTCTCTCGAATACTTTTTTGGCACGCCGTATATGGACGCTGGCCGGCTGCCTATAGAAAGGAAAACGAATGAGCTAACGAAGTAAGCGATCGAGTGGCCGAATGGAGGTGGAGGTGGAGGTAACGTATACGTATAGTGTGTGGGAGATAATATGAATTTATTTTGGAGCATGTATTTGTGAGCTTATACACGTACATATGTGTTAGTAAGATTATGTATGGGAAAATAGTAATGATGGCGATAGCAAATGCAATTGACGCATACACCCACTAATTTGCTCTTAATCTGTTGACAGCACAGTGTGTTAGAGAAAGAGAAAAACAGTACCGCTGAAATTGTAGTATTGGGTAAGCAGGTTGTGGCGCCGGTGGCGGTGGTGGTGGTGGTGGTATTGGTATTGGTGTTATTGGTGTTGGTGGAGAGAATAAAAAAGTCGCGGTCATATCCAATTTCAATTGATTGTGGAGCATAGCAACAATATTTGACTGGAAGATGTTGCTATTTTTTAAGAAGAGAACCTCTTTTGTATACATAAGTATGTATGTGATTTTGCTGTGAAAATGTTTGTATGTGTAAGTGTATTCTTATATGAAAATTCGTATATTGCAAATAGCTATGTACGTCCTTGTAGCGATCGTGCGGTGTCTAACGTACTAACTGTGCCGTGGCATTGTTGCTTCTTACTAGTAAACCAGCCAATGTTTAGTGAATTGGCACAAGTTTATGTACTGCACATGCCACACATCTGCACATACATGCATACATATTTGTGTTTCTTATAAACAAATTATGAGTTTCCTGTTTTTAATTCCTAACAGATGTTGTGGGAAAAATATACATGCATACGTACATATGAATTTTATGTGAAGAAAGAAAATTCAGAGCAAATGATGCCAATGAAAAACGAATATTATAAGAATTTGAAAAATTTGGTTGGCGTTAAATAAGTTCTTTAAATTTTAGGTAACTACACTTGATTTGTTCATCTCTTGTAAACCAGCGATGTTTATATTGGCATACATACTTTTATTATACAGATATAATATTGTCAATAAAAAGAATCAAAGGTGCAACAGAAATTTAAATAAGTTGAATACTTTAAGGTGTCCATCTGCTTGCTTAGTTATTAGTGTATATATTTGCATTTTATTCCCAATTTTTCCTACTACTTAGAATGCATATTTCGAAATTTTTAATTTTAATTTAAACTCGCCAAGAGCTTAGTGCTGCAAAATAGCAATGCAACGCTTGAAATTCATTTATTTAAACATCATGTACAAAATACCAGCAATAAATAGCATTCAAGTGTCATGCGATTGTGAAACCTTTTGTTTGAATATAAATTTTGAAAGCTTTTGTGTTTCATATTCCTAAAATAAATTTTTGTATATTTCTATGAGGAAAACAAGTTCGTACCCCTGCCGTTGGTGATATGGTGCTTTGCTAACGTCACCTAACACCTACTTGCGCTTTTGAATTTATTTTACGTTGCGTGGGCCTTCAATTAATTAGACTGAGTGAGGTAGTATTTTTGCTTATGAAAATTTTGAAAATATCTACGAAGAGCTGTTGTTTTGCCAAAATACCTGTCGTGTTGTTTCAACATTATGTATTCTATCTTATGCTATGAGTTCAGCCATTTTTTGAAGAAGACGAATTAGAAAAAAATAAAATAAAACTTAACTGCAGTTAAGACCTAAGGTAAGCCCCAAGAATTTTACATTCGAGTTTTAATTTGTTTTCTTTTTCTAAATATTGAATTTATGATTACAAAAAAAAAAATACCTAAATGTATGTCCCAGTTGCAAGACAAGTCGGAATTAACTGTTTGATACAATTTTAAGCCCAATTCTTAATTATTTCTATTCTGAATCAGAACTTTTTTTCAGTCTTTCATTTCTTGCTGCCGTAAACAATCTTCCGAAAAGGGAGAAAACGGAGACATGACCAACATATTTAGGGAGATTATTTGCCGGCAAATCTATGGAAAGTTTGAATAACGGCTCTATTCTGTATCAGTGACAAATTCTTGTCACAGTTTTTTTTTTT